TGTCAGCATTAAAGATCTTCATGCACAGCTAACCTGGGTAATCTCTCTGCAATTTATAAAAATGTCACGCCTGTTTCATAATTTGGACTGTAATCCGTTACACCGGCTCTTCTTTACTGAGATTACTGATTAGGGCGATCAACAAAATAACTCCCAATAAGGCCTCATTTTTTTGCTGCGTATTCCTCCCTACATCAAATCTAATCGTAGTCCTTAATCCTTCATTCAGAGTTTTCAGTTGGACTGTCCTTCTGTCCGGCAGATTCTTAGATATTGAATACTTTTTAATTTTTAATTATCATCACCTTATTAGCAAGCCCAATGACAGATCATAGCAGGTGTTCGCGATTTCGGTGCTTGCAAATAATCCTTGGCATGCAACCTCTTACTTTACTGGCCTCCCCCGCATCTCATTTTGGAAACCAAGTTTAACTTGATACAAAACAGAAGACTGTAGAGTACGTAATGAAAGATAACGGGATTCGGAATGGTCATGATATCAGTCAGAGAAACTATCGAAAGATAAGTGCAACTATTGAGGCACTCATCGGGCCACCGTTGAGTCGAAATGTTGCACTCATTTACAAACGCCGCCGGGGGTTCACAGCATTTCAGCAACAGCGCCGATGGCACCTTAGAAATTAAGTGGCACGCGAATGTAACTAATGAAGAAGCACCGCACCACGGAAAATTGCAACACACAATTAAGCCTCTCAGAGGAAAGTGCATTCGCTGGCTTGAGGTTCCATGAAAGTAGCAGTTACTGTGACGGCTGTTACGGTCACTCGATCGCGGCCTTCTACGTCAGACCTCCACCAAGTTCAGCCAGTGATAAGCAGTCCATGCGGCAAACTGATTTACAAGTGTAACTAAACAAATTAAGCACTTCAAGAGATTGGCAAGTTTAAATATTCTGAATCAGTCGTTGTCAGCAATGACACAAACATTGTGGAGGCTGATAGCTTCGAACGCTTTTGAAAACCTGTACATTACTTTGGCTGAAAAGGGAGTCTCTTTCCACAGAACTCAGCCTAAACCTTGCCTCTGACAGTTCAGAGTTGCTGTAGAACACGGAGGTAGTTGTTCTAACGAATGAGCAAGAACGACGGTTGAACCGTATACAGCAGTGATGTCTTCGATGCTAGAGAGTTAAATGGCACCCCCTTCCCAAATTTAAGGAACGGCTCAATTGTGTTCCAGAAACATGTGATCTTAGCAGATGTTTGCATTAGGAGAAGCAGCTTGATCCCGTTAGACAGACTTGTTGAACACAAGCCATTTACTCAAGCCAATGAGCTTAAGGAGTGGGCGTCGAAACACGACGGAGGTCAACCTGGTGGCCAGCATGCAACATGCAAAAATAAGGTAGAAATAGTTCGGCCTTCGGAGAGTAGCATTTCCTTCTACGATGCAGCAACCGATGCCTTATAGCAAATGTGCTGAACCGCTATATACTGAATATAGCGGACGTAACAAAGCAGAGGCGCTCTGCTTGCGTAAGTGACTCAGTGCAATTATCCCCTCAGGCACATGTGCACATAAAGGAATTCAGAGAGTCTTACTTCCATTGTGTTTCCGCTACACCTTCTGCTACGAGAGGACTTGAACACTGTAGTGTGTCACCAGAGTCTCAACGTGTCTATCAAGGCTGACTGAATCATAAACAAGAAACAAACTCATGTTAAAATCCGCCAGAAACAATATTAAGCCTCACCAATGAGAGGAACTTGTAAAACGGTAAACTTGGCAAGCAGATCCGTTACGAGTAATTGCCGATTCTACGTTTATCAGTCGCAGAAGCGCCAGATGTGAGGTTTTCCATAAATCCATCCTCAAATCGGCGTCACGAAAATTGATAAACGATCGGAATACTGAATCTCATGCAAATTATGTTTTATGTATCTACGGATTATATCCTGTGCCAATTTTTAGTCCACTATTAGGCGATCAAGGGTGAAGACGAGGGCCGCTTAAAGACGCAAGCATCACACAGTATGACTGTAATTCTGGCACGTTCTGACATGACCATGCCTGAACATAATGCTTTCCCTGCAGTTTGCCAATCCAGGTTTGGCAGCCGTTTCTCGACAGGTTGCTTCGAAACGCAGTGGGTGAATTCTTTGCTCAAAGGAACTAGCCGTTAAAAAGATAACCTTCTATTTATAAGCTTGGCGCGTGAATCCAGCACTTCGATTAAGTAAGAAGTAAATTCCTAAACCTCTGCGCCACAACCTTTCCCCCTCCAAAGTATGTTAATGCCAGTTCATTACTCTCCCTTGATGCAATGGTGATGATGATTTATTATGTATCATATACTAACTGATAATTTGCTGATAAATGTCATTTGTCACCGTACAGTGACAGTTTTTCGTATAATCAGGGGAGCGAGGCAGTACACCCGTTGTGGTCTCTAGTGTTGTTGGTTAGTTGCTGCGTTGGGAGTCCCACGCTCGGCGTAACGTTTCCTTATTAAAATTTCCAATTCACTTGAGCACAGCATAAAAGGTGGTTATTCATATTCAGCTTACATTATTTTGTCAATTAGATGTCAGTTCCGACGAAGGAAAGAAATTGGCTGACTTTGGAAGTTCTTTCTCTCGATCGCGGTGGTTTGTACGTTTGGAATCATATGATATTCTGTAGTCAACTAAAGCCTTCCAAGGCTAATTTTTTCACCTTGAAGAGAGACTGTGATACTCTGACAGAGACGTCGCTACTGGGCTATTATTCAATTTACCAAATTGTTTGCATTGTGTATAAATAAACCGTGATTTATGCTACCTTCATAGTGACCACCAATGAGGAATTCACCTTATTGGAAGGTGTGGCCCTTCAGTGAATTGAACTGAGAAATTAGTGGCAAATTTTTGACTTCTGGACAACGAGGATAACACAGTGCTCTGGTGTGGTCATATGGAGGCGTGCCAGGCCAATTGAAGAGTAAATTGCCTGATGCATGTGCTGTGAGTCACCGGTCACTGACTACTAATCAGCACAATGTGAAACTCGTTATTAAAAATATCTGAAATACATCGATTCAGGTGGAAGTAATTTCGGCTGCAGTCTCGAATGGATGAGCTACAGTCCACCGTTCACGCTTAAATGATGTATAATGCTCTCTGAGCTTTGGATAAAGAGAGGGTGCTAACTGAAAGATTTATGGAAGGATTTCAATCTTTAGCGTAATTCATAAAGTTTGGATGTGGGAAACTGTGGCCTGTTGATTCTTGTTGAGAGCATGTGAAGAGATACTTGATATTCATTCCGAATCGAAGATATGCTGTTTCAATGGGAAGGGAAGAAAAGATTATTGCTGTGTGTCATTTTACCATTATCATCTATGGTCGGTTTGCAAAGATGTAGGCTGCTTAGGATTTGAGTTGTCTGTTCATCTCCGTTTCTCGCATTTTGTTTTCTGCGTCTCTCTCTGATGTGAGGACAGAAAAATATGTTCAGTCTGCGTTTTAACGAATTATGTCCTATCAGTGATTTCATGTACTGTCCAAACTCGATTGTGGATCGGATCATAGGCTTTCTCTATGGGAGGCACAGATAATCCGGATAAACGAAGTCCCACGACTACTCAACAACTTGGTGTAAGGTGAAGATTTAGTTAACGATGCCTCAGCCCTCAGCCTCATCTGCAGCCACACTGCTCTTCTTGAATCTTAGTGTCAGCCATTTCGCAGCATCTCCTTACCAACACCTATGCGTCGGCATTTGCGGGGAGCCTCATAATTCTCCTATAATTCGAACCTTCACTATGATTTTTTTTCTTTAACAGATGTACTGCCACTCCAGTTCTTCGCCGAAGTCACTGCAGTTGGACAGTGCGTTCTGAGGTTTTCCCAAATATTCATGTAAAACATTACAAAAGAGTTACAATGAAAAATGATGCTCTCATATTTATTCTAGGAACTTTGTTCGCTGACTACCTCCAAATTCCAGACTGGCATTTGGGGCTAGTTAAAATAAATCACTTCTACTTCACTTTGCTTTAACACTTTCTCTTTCGATACCGGACACCGGCTGGAAGCGGCGTAATAGCACCGTCTCTTTTCTTTTAGTTCCCTAGGGACCATTTAAGAGGGCCACCGTTTCATGGTATTTGAGCCCCTGCAGTGCATGGAGGCATGCAAAACCGAATCGTTTGGCAGGGACGAACAGAGACTTGTTCGGACACCAGAAAATATGCCATGATCAGTTCACTTTGCTTTCCCCTGCATAAGCATGAACGAAGTTTGTGGGCGTGACTGGTAACTGCTTACTAATACTTTGCATGAACTCAGATATCATGTAATCAAAAGGACGCAATTTATTGATATTTAACACATCACAATGCGTTAAATTATCCCCATGTGTTCCCATTGCTAACCTACGGTTGCAAAACGCAGATCCTCAGCCTGAAATCTATCTGTATTGCAAATTTCACAAAGTAGCATGGAAACATTTATATTGGGAACAACAAGAAAAGACAAAAAGAGGAATGAACGAGTTAAGGCACAAACAACAGTGAACGGTACCATTGTCTCAAAGTGAAGAAGTTAAAATGGCAATGGACACGAAGCCGCACAAGAAGAACCGACCACCATCGTCAACCAGAGAGACACTGGACTAAATTCCAAGAATGAGTAGGTGACCTGAAAAAGTTCGATGGATCAAGGTGGATGAAAATGACAGAAAACAGAAATCCATGGTGGTCTTGGAGATGTTTTTATCCTGCAGTGATTGACAAAGGCTAATAATGATGATTACTTTATGATCAGATGGACTTGCTAATATCTCTAAACATAAAAGAAATCTTTAGAAAATCGATGATCATATCATTGATCCAGAGCTCAGCTTCATCGTGTGCTACGTGATGTGATTCAGTCTTGAAAACAAAATGATCGACAGTGCATATCGTAACCTACAAGATCCTGGAAAGAGATGAACTCTATTTAAAAGATGGACACGTTTGTTGACATATCAGCGACAGCTAATACGGGTGTAAATTTTATGCACTTGTTTGGAAATATTTTACCGTAACAGAAACCTCATAGATAGTGCAAAAGAACGCAGTATGGGAGCAATAAGTTCGGTGAAACAGATGAAGAGACGTGTAAATAGCCTGAAGCAAGCTTTGGCGGTCAACTCTCTCATCGAGGGTAACTACGCGTAAGGTGTGTTCCAGAAAACGAATCAAGAGAAACAACTCTTCACGTGCGTTATGCCGTAGTACTGAACACCACGATGCTGAATGGATGGAGCCAGAAGCAACCTTCGCCACGAGTGCTGTCGAACAGTCTAAGTATGGAAGAGGGTGGAGAAATGAACATAGACGACGAATCATCACATCAACCCTCTCGTCTCCTCCTTCTTCCTCACAATTGACGTCATGCTTAAGGCCAGACGAGCGAACACCTCCGGAATGCGTAAGTGTTTTGTGAATCGTAACGACAGCTGCATCTGTTCCGTGCGCACAGCAGCGATCAGCTGTATAACACCGTTGGACAACAGATCAAATACTCCAACACTCAATGAAATGTGCAAATTTGCTGAACTGTGAGGAAAAATACATTAAAGAATCGGAGCCTGTATCAAAACGCCAAAACCATCCCGTGACTAACCCACTACGAAGGGGGTAAAGGGCAGCGTAAAACTCTGTCACATCGTTTTTCTGGTATGTCAAAAACTTTTGATTCCTCTGTGCTAGTGGAGAATAAAACGTGACGAGTCCAGAAGTTCGTACAATAGAATAAATCACGTCATCTCAGGAATACCTAATTCAGCTTTTCCTGTGTTTGGGTTGGTTCGAAACAGGGAACGTTTTTACATATTTGTGAACATATGAATATGAATTCGCAAATGACAGTACTTTAACGATCGCATAAGCTCATTATTTATTATTTGCACTATATAGCTTTGAATTATAGTACCGCCTTTAATTTGTGAAAACTATTATAATTTAAAATTATAGGGTTCGAAGGAACTGAAATGTGGAACGCCAATACACGGCTAGCAGAAGACTGCCTGAATTTGAATCTCTGGGCACCGGTTGACGCAGTAAATGTTCCGGTTCTTGTATGGATTTTTGGGGGAGGATATTACTACGGCAGTCCGTCACTGGAACTGTACCGCGGTGACTACATTGCGGCGTATGGAAACGTTATCGTTGTGAACATTAATTACCGATTAGGGCCGTTTGG